ATTAATCTTTTGACTCCAGGGATCTGATGATACAAGAGAGCAGTTCTATTTTCTTGGTACAGGGGAGGCAGACTATGGGGGTAGGGGAGTGGAGGGTAGCAAATGTGGCATAAATATAAATGGTTGCTGTATTGGCTGGTTTTGTTTGATCATTTTTCTTTATTACTAAGGAGGTCTTGGCGGGGGTGGGGGAGGGAGAGGAGAATGATGGGGAAGTAAAAAAATATAAAGGCATCAATAAAACCTCAAAAGAAACAAGAAAGAAACTGAGGCCTAAAGAGATAAAAAAAAAAACTTTCTTAACACTACATACATAATTAGAAAATCTGAGAAACAAACCCAGGTCCTTTGAGTCCAAATCAGTTTTTTCCCCCACTATATAATTCAATCATTACAAACCACTTTAAAGCAATTACATATCTGAAGAAAGATGTACTTATTTGAATTGTTTGTTGTTAGTTCTTTGAAATTTTTTTGAGATTTTGAATATCTCTTTTTAATGAATCTACTAATCCTTCATTTAATTCAATATCCCCACAAATGGACCAAGTAATCACTAATTGATTAGATCATTTACTTCTATACACTGCTTTCATCTTTAAACATATGCTAGCTTATAATAAAATGAACCCCTTTCATTAACAATTAATATTCAGTTGACTGTTTTCCCTTCTGAATTAATTTTATAAGCAATAGAACTTTTTTTCTTCTACATTGTAGGGTACAAGTTTTAATATCAAACAGTAGTCTACATTTTCTTAGAAATCATAACACTGTGCCATTTGTTATTTACCTTTTGTTAAAGTGACATAAAAGGTATAGATTTTCATCTTTTTCTTTTGGATATTGGAGTTAGCAAGGAATTTCAGCATTAAGAACTTTTCAGGTTCCCATCCATCTCTTGCCCTCTATCTGTGGGCTTCCCCCAAAGCTTTTCCTTCCACTTTTTTCACCTCTCTAATTTTCTTGCTAGGTGACCTCACTAGTGCTCATAGGATCACTTACTATATCCATGCAGATGACTCTTAAATTTATGTACTCAGCCTCCTGTTTTCAAAAATTTCATCTTACATGAGCATCTATTCCTTCTACAAACTTCCCTATTTCTGTTAAGTGCACTACCACCCTTCTCATCTCCTAGGTATATAATCTTTGAGTCATCCTTGACTTTCCCACTTTCCCCCATCCTCCATATCGAATAAGTTGACAAATATTGTCAATTTTCACATCTCAACATTTGTCTGTTTTCTTCTTTCACATAACCACCCCCTTAGTTCAGACCCTTACCACCTCTCTCCTGAATTATTGCAATAGCTTCCTAATTGACTTCTATGCTTTCATCCTTTCCCTTTTCCAAGCTGTCCTCTACACAAGTCCCTAAAAAATAATCTTCCTAAAGGATAGTTCTGAACATTGAATTCTCTCAATTGCTTCTAGGATAAAATAGATATGGCTCAGCTGGCCATTTGAAGCTCTCCATAGTCTCGTTTCATCCTATCTTCCCAGGCTTCTTTCATATAGCTCCCTTTCATATACTCTATGTTCTAACAAAATTGACCTTGTATCCTAAATTCCACATTCTATCTCCTGACTCCATGTTTTTGGATAGATTGTTTTCCATGCCTGGAACACCCAAATTCCTCATCTATATTTCTTAGCACTTTAACATCTCTTGAAGCTTAGCTCAGGTACTACCTCCTACACAAAACTTTTTTCCTGTCCTCTTGATTCCCTTCTCAAATTACCTCACTCATCTACACATGTTGTATTCTATAGCAGTAGCAAACTCATTGAGAATAGTGGGTGTTTTTTTTCCCCCAGTACCACTGTGTCCTGGATATAGTAGGTATTTAGTCAACATTTGTTGAAATCAATTACATCTCGGGACTATGCAGAAGAATATCTGCACATTTCACCTTTTGGTTTTAGGTAATGTTTCTAGTCTTACAACACTTCTTGTAGGATTGCCATCTTCTGAATCATTTTGTATAAAGAAAGTGGTTCACCAACTTCTTTAGGTTTCATTGTGTGTGAAATACAACTAAGTGATTCGACAGTAATAGAACCTCAAAAATAAGCCTTATTATGAAGTACTTAGAAGAAGTAAGTTACAACCTTAATTGGATGGAATAGTCTGCATGCCTGACCAAAGTCAGGAGCTTCAACTTTGCTCAACTTGAACATTGGTTGTTTTGATATTATCATCAATTCTGCAAATATAAAAAATGTGGATGAAATCACAAACTGGATGGATGAGGTCTTTTTTAAAAAAATGTGCTTTGTCAATGAAACACTCAGCGTTCAAGTATTAACCTCCTGGCAAGGCTAGCCATATTCAGGAAACATAATGATAGAAAAAAGCTAAAGAAAGTAGGGTCACCTAATGCAAGAAAGAGTTATTGGGTCACACCAGTTGTGTCCAACTCTTTGTGACCCCATTTGGGGTTTTCTTGGGAAAGAGACTGGAGTGGTTTGTCATTTCCTTCTCCAGTTCATTTTACAGATGAGGAAACTGAGGCAAACAAGATTAAGTGATTTGCCCAGGGTCACACAGCTAGTAAGTGTCTGAGGCTGAAAATGAACTCGTGAAGATGAGTCTTCCTGATTCCAAGTCCAGTGCTCTATCCACTGAGCCACTTAGCTGCCAACGTAGGATTAGGAATTTTTTTTCAATCACCTTGCCCTTTTTTTCTCTTTCCTCCTTTCCTGTCTTTTGATATTACTTCAAGAAGTCTGCTAACATTGCTATGCTAGTGTATTCTTAAGCTCACCCATGTAACTTGAACAGATATATAAAAAAATAAACTTCCCCTTTGTTAGTTTACCCAACTCCACTTACTTCTCTGAACTCTTTCTTCCTTTTTCTTTACTTTCATCTAACATCTCCCTTTCATTCCCGTTAGCCCCCTCCCACTTCCTAACTTCCTTTCTGTGCTGAAAATGAACCTCAAGGGAAGTCAAACCTGATTAGCCTTCTAGTCACCAAGAAAAACCAATCTTGGGTCAGTATCTCCCCTACTCCCAAGTCAAATCACATAGCATTTATTAAGCACTTTATTAAATCCCAATATTTCCTAGTACCACCGTGCCTTGGATATAGTAGGTGTTTAGTCAACATTTGTTGGCTAAACTCAATTACTGTGTAGAGTGCTAGATAACCAGAGAAAGGCAAAAGACAATCTCTGCTCTCAAGGAACTTTCAATCCTAATGGGGGAGATAATACACAAACAGCTATGCACAAACAAGCTACAGGATAACTAGAAGTAATCTCAGAGGAAAGGCACTAACTTTAAGGAGCAGTAGGAAAAAGCTTCTTGCAGGTGAGATTTTAGGTGAAAATCTTAGGAAGCCCCAAAAGCCTGGTTTTAGGAATTTTTTTAAGCAAAGGTTTTGTGTCCCTTCCCCACCTTTTCTAGATCTGAGATTTCATTAGCAAAAGAAATTCTTTGGGAGGAAATTCTTATCAAATGCAGATCAATAACTAGTTTGCAATTTATGGTTTCAGTGAATTGCCTAAAGCATTGGGGAGTTAAATCCAGGGTCACACAGACAGTAAGTGTCAGTGTGGGACTGCAATCCTGTTCTTCTTGACCTGAGGCCAGCTCTCTATTTATTATACTATACTGCTGCTATGGGCAGCTGGGTGGGACAGTGGATAGAGCAAGGGACCTGGAGTCAAGAAGACCTGAATTCAAATCCTGATTCAGATGCTTGCTAGTTGTTTGACCCTGGGCAAGTCACTTCACCCTATTTGCCTCAGTTTCCTCATCTGTAAAATGAGCTGGAGAAGGAAATGGCAAACCACTCCAGTATCTTTGCCAAGAAAATCCCAAATGGGGTCACAAAGAGTCAGACATGACTAAAGCATCTAAACAACTGCTTCTAACTAAAGAAAGAAAATACTTCAAATAGATATTTTAATTATTATTATTATTACTATTTTGCTTCATAAGTGATCAGAGAGGGCTCATAATAACACCTGAGTGGTTTTGTGTAGCAACTAACATAGGCACATTACTACTAAATGCCATGATCATTAAATCAACCAATCTCATTTGAGCTAATGCAAACAATTGAAATGGAAGGAAAATGCTGAAAGGGCACGGGATGGGTGAGAGAATCTATTCTAAGGTCAGGAGTGCTTCCAGAGGGAGCCAAGCTATAACTATAACAATGTCTCATCTACTAAATAGATACCTCTAACTCACAGAGATTTGGCATTAATTTACTTTCCATTTATAAGAAGTTTATCCATAAAAATATCACCAAAATTGAGTTCTAATGAGAAATTAGCCATAAATCTTGCTAACTGCTTTCGCCCTCCCTTTTGGAGGGTATCTCCCATACAATGTCCTTACCCTCCAATTGTACAACATACAATTAAATATAAAAATATTCCTATATAAATTCCTATATAAATATATAGCAAAAGGATAATGTTAGCTTTTTACCTTGAGAGCTATCTGAAACCTAGTTCAAAATATGACAGGTCACACATGAATCTTAACAAAAACAATAAAATTGATTTAGAAACTGTCTCCTTTCCAGGGATACTCAACTGTTTAATAGTTTTACTTGAGAAAACATATTTTGAGCAAATATTTCCCAATCAGATATTTCAAATATTTAACAAACTCATCTTTTTTTTTTAACTTGATCAGATAAATAAGCATTTCTATATCATTTACAGAAAATCTGCCAGATCTTAAAAACTCAAATTATTCTTGTATGCTTAAGGTCATGCTTTGGAGCTATCACCCAACTCCCTACCACACAACTCTACTCATGTGATCCATAAGCAAAGGTGCCTCAATCAAACTAGATACAACAGAATAATCAAGGTGCAAAGGAAATTTTGATGCCTGAAACCTTAAACAACTTAATCTACCAAGAAAACCAAACCAAACCAAACCAAACCAAAACCAAAACAAAACCAAAAACCTATAAAGCCAATTTGGGTAAAAACCAGGCTGAAACACATAAAAGAAGGCACACTCACCTGGCTAATGGGTTCTTTTGTAGGGGGCTTTCCTCTTCTGGCTGTGCTGGTAGCCAGGGTGGTGGTGGTTTCCATAATGGATGTGGACATCTCAGACTGCATGGCTGTGGCTGTTGACTCAGTTGTCATAGAGGAAGGCACTTCACCAACCAGTCTCACATTTCCCACTATCGCGATGTTGGCATCATTTTCGGCTGCCATATTCAGAACTTTCAAGCCATTGTAGTAAAGACCAGACAGTTGGCCCTGGAAGGGGTGGCCCTGCTCTTTCCCGCCAATTATAATGGTTGCTTGGCTATTGAAGATTGTGAGCTGACGCCCTGTAAAAATAACATTACATACATGCAAAAATGTTGATTGTGAACTCTACATTCTAAACAGGATGATAAAACAGATCTTTCATGGGGTGAATAATGAGAGCAATAAACTATAAGATAGGCATTTGACTCATAATTCATTGCTTTTTTAATGAGGTGTCCATGAAATGCATAATACTGGTAAATACTTGTAATTGCTTAATTAACTCTCAATGGGTTACTTTTGCTAAAAGACCAATCAAAGATGTCAATACCAAATTTATTTTTAGTAGATCCTTTCCCCCCTTTTCCTTGAGGTCTTGCTATTTCACTTTTGAGTATTGGTTGTCAAATTCAAAAATGCAAAATCTTTGGCAGGATTTTTAACATTTCAAGGATTTGCCACACTGAAATAACCACTGACAGATACTAACCTGCAACTATAGAATATGAAGTTTATTTTTTTTAATTTAAGGTTTAAAGTTTCATAATTCAGGTAATGGCCATATAGACAGTATGGTAAATGAAAGTTTACTTTAAAAATGTAATGTTTCATTGTCTCATTGTCTCATTTGAATCATTCTATTTCTTCGGCATTCACACTGAAAAGAAATGCATGGTTCACACTGATCACATCCAAGGCAAGGATTTTAAATATATAAATAAATAGATCTGATTGGCTTTCAGCAAGTCTATCAATTAAAACAAAAGAAAAAGAAAAGAGTTTTAGATGTAAAAGCGGCTTCAGGAATGATACACATACCAATGGAGAAATCATGGCACATTTTCATTCAACAGAAATCTTCAGAAACAGTACCATTATTATCAAATTGAATATCCACTTTAGCAGACTGGTTTCTGCTAATAAAAAGCATGCACACAACTTTAAGTCCAGTTTTAATTAGGGTTTGTTCCCAAATCCTCTTAGAAAGTTGCAAACGTTAAAGGGACTTTGTTTTGACCGGCAATACATATTGCCCACTATTTAAGATACCTACAGTTTAAACAAAGAGTTTTTCAGGACCATAATGAAGATATCAGAACTATATATATTTTAGTTAATAATTTAGATGTTGGAACATGTAATATAATCTATGAATGATTTATCATTTTGGGTTAATGTTTGCTATCAGTACCTTCATAGATTGAGTTAGTGGATTATATTTAACAGTCCCTTTAACCTTAAGTTAACAGGGTAAGATTATTATACAGCTGGTACTTCTAAAATGTATAGAAATTATTATACAAGGTATGCAAATATTACTATCTACATTTTACTGTTTTAAATTTGTTTTTAATTTAGTTTTACTGAAAATTTATTTTTTATGTTTATTAGTGTTACAATGAAGTACTACTTGGTTATGTTCAAATTATTTTTTTATTTGAAGTTTTAATCAATGTTTTTTACCTTTGTCGAGTAGCCATTCATCAACTACTCGACCAAGTCGATATGGAATTCGCTGTCTAGCAATCGCCAGGCGCTCGTTATCATTGTTTCCTTTAAAGTTTAAAGAGACATTTCATTGGTTAAAATCTGTAAGGTCAAAGGTTAAAAGTTAATACTTAAAGCTTGAGCTATACAGTTGCCACATGATTTTTTGAAATTTGGAATTTTAAAAAGTTCTACCTAGAACATTTCATGTTTCAGACTTTCATTCATTCATTTATTTTATTTTAGCAAACAAAATTATTCCTATGTTAATTGAAAATTAGAAATCTGCATTTGAGCTAGGTTATTAAACTTATGTTATAGACAGACCCAAACAACAAATTTAAACATCATATAATGGCTTTACAAAAAATGACCATTGACCTCAGGGTTTTGTCTGTTTTGATATTTCTTATTAACTAGTTAAACATGTTCAGGTGAAACAGGTTTAATTTTTCAAAATACATCCAACCTCTTACTCCAGGTTAATCATTTAAAGAAATCAAAACCTTAATACCTTCTAAGGCACACTCCAGCCATCTAAAATAAGCCTGGCATACTTTATTTCCTATTCAGAAAACAGAAATTCTTATTCACCTCATATAAGGAAACCACAGAGTCCAAATATTTCTAGTGAGATACAAACAAATTGGGTAATCAATCACTTGCACATCACAGGATCACAGATAATACATTCTGTATCAACAAGATGTGTTATTAAGGGAGAAGGCTTTGACAAAAGTGACTTCATTTGAGTGTCCTTTAAGCTTATCCAGATATCAACCTGTTAAGGCATATCCCACTTGAAAGAAGATTTTGTTGTTCATATTTCATACAATCAAACCATGTTATTTGGTAGCTTTTTCTTAAGTATATCAGACAGCTTAAGGAGAAAAAGCAAACCACCAGCACCAAGCACTAATAGATCTATCCTGCCCTCAGTTTATAGACAGGTTGATTGGAGAGCATGCCTTCTTATAAAAAAACGATCTGAAAGATCTGCTCTTTAAAATGACCTCAAACACTACTTGTAATCTGAATTTTATTTTAATCTAAAAAACACTTAAAGGTAAAAACACAGACTAATGTTCTAGTTTTTGTCCAAAAAGGAGAACGGTACCATGTTCTTCCATAGAACTTAAGTAGTATGGTGCTATGGTCTTTCACTCTTAAGGAACACCTCAGTTGGTACTTGAGAAGTGGGTGAGACTGTAGAAGATAATTACTACCAACCTTTCTGGAGAAAGTGGTAGTTACACTAATATAACAACAACAATATATATAGGCTATCTGCAATCTTCCTAGGCAGCCTAAGATGCATGTCAAAAAATTTCTTTTTCAAGATTAAATTTTTTTGCTCTTTTCGACATTGAGCTCACCATGAAACCCTCTTTACCATACTTCTGACAAAGGATTAAAATTAGTAAAGAGGGCTTTTTTTTTTTTTTTAGGAATTGTAAAGTTCCATGTGAGCTTCTACATGAATGACTCTCTTTCAAAGTGAAAGATACAATCTTAAATCGTCAATACTCTTGACATAACCAAAATGGACTTTAACCTTCAACGAGAACTACTTTTCCAATTGTATAATTTTATATGAATTTATATACTTCAAGGATCTGAAACATCAGTGCAGGTATTCCCTCCACCAACAGGGATTGCAACCCCTTTGTAATTTAGTAACTTATTTTTGAGAAATGCCGTGATTAAAAAAAAAAATCACCCTCATCCCAACTTGATGATGAACCTCTCTAAACTTAGATAGCCTGGTCCTTGGCCATGATGAGGCATGCTCAACCATGCCTATATGGAAAGCTTTTCCAGGTTAGTTGAACCTGTCAGTGTCTACACTTCCCTGACATAGCCTTCAAGAAAGTTGGTGTCACCTCTGTCCTAATGAAGCATTATAGTCAGACCCTGGTGGACAACATATTAGTTTCATTTTTTTTCTAGTTTTATGATCATAGGCGGGTCTTGATATTACTTTTTATTTCAGATTTTCCTCCATCAATCAGGACTTTTTATTTAGCTATGCTAGTTTTTGCTGCACCATGAAAGTTCATTCCTGAATATTTAATGCAAAGTAGTTGCCAGGGGAGTGGAGATAGTCTAAATTGGAATAGGAATTCTCTCCTTATTCTCCTAAGTAGAAGTCACATGGCTAGTGTAATCTAACATGCTTGTTACGCTGCTGCAGAATTAGATGGATAAAAAAGCACAAATGCAACCATTAGATAATTTGTTGTTAATCATGGATCAGAAGATAGGAAACAAACATGAAAAGGAAATTGCAAGGAATAGTAATAGCTAGCATTTATATAGCACTTACTATGTGCCAGGCACTGTGCTAAGTGCTTTCAAATATTATGTCCCTTGGTCTTCACAACCCTGTGGCATATAACTGTAAAGTCAGGGAAAGGAGGAAAAAAAGGGGGACGTAGAAGGCTTTTGTATCCCTAGTGCCTACTATAGTATCTTACAGATAGCATGCACTTATTAAAGGCTTATTAGATTGAATCGGATTGGATTGATCTCATGTAGTTTTGCAGAGGGTAGTTTTTTTGTCTGTTTGTTTGTTTGTTTTTGTAGTTGACTGTTGCTGGATAGAATAACCAACCACTAAGGTCCATGGCACTTGAGCACCTAGGCTTTGTAACTCCTCTCAGAAGCATCTTGAAAGGAGGGCAAAGGTTAGGAGTGCTACATTATATATCTTGGGGGAAGAGGACACAGAAACCTACTTTCTGCCCTAAAATGGCACCTCACATGTTTAGTTTGGAATTTTATAATATCTACTCTTTCCTTCAAAATTTCTTCACCCAATCCTACAGTTACCCTAGGGTAAGCAGAGGGCCTCTATCCCATATTCCTTTGATCCTGATTCTGCCCTGGCCCTCAAAATAAGTATAAACTTAATCACTGGGAAATGTCATAAGGGATCAGAAGACTTTTCTTGGTTTTATACTCGAGGACTGTCCAATAAGAAATTTCTATGTCTTCTATTTAGACAACTTTGGAAAAGGAAAAGTGAAAAATGACACACCCTCTCTCATTTGTTCCACTCACTGAATGAAATTCATAAAGAAATTAATGAATGGCACTATGAGATTTTGTTCAATGGCTGCTGATTGAAAACCTTAATGTAACTCTCAGCTAACATGATCACGTGAACCCTTTGTAACAGAAGCAAAGGTGAGTGACAGAACAAAGCCAGGGAGAGAGAAGATGGACCCGGGCAAAGTAAGAGCAGGCAAATCAAAACAGATAGAAGCTGTAAAATTAATTAATCATGATGGGCAGATCATAGGATTTGGAGTTGGAAGAGATCATAGAGATCAACCAGTCCACATTCCTCATGTTTCAGAGAACAATTGAATGACTTGCCCAAAGTCACAAAACTAGTTAGCGACATAGCCAGAAGTAGAATCCAGCCCTCTAGATCACAACACACAACTCTTCACTTCTAGCTCGAGTTCAGAGGACAATTAGTAGTAGTTAAAACTTAAAGGGACCCTAGAGATGATCTAATTCAGCCTCCTCATACTATGGGTAAAGAGACTGAAAGGGTTTATAAGTTGCCCAAGGTCACAAAATCATGAAGCAACGTGGCCAGTCCTCAAACCTAGCTCATTTGGACACCTTTTACACTACATTTCACTGTACCGCTTCTTGTTTTAGAATATGTTGACAAAATAATTGGGTTCTCAGAAGCACTAAAAGTAAGAAGTCTCTGCCACTTCAGTGGGCATTAATTGTACAGAATAGTTTTACTCTGGACATTAAAAATACGAGTTTCTGTTTTCTCTGAAGAAGGCAGTAGAACTGAAACTAGACAGAGTATCTATCTGTGCAAGAAAAAGAAAATCTATTTTATTCTTTAACTTGCCCTTGTGCCATGGCTAAAAAAATAAATAAAACACCGTCCATAATAGCCATAATTGGGAGTGGGAGCAGTTTTTGTGATGAAACATTTGATCTAAATGCCATTATAACCTAAAGAAGGAAAGGGATTCCCACACCTGTTTAGCAGTCAGGGACAAAAAAAAAAAAAATTCAGGCTGGTTGGCATACCAGCTAAAGGCTTCCCTTATATTTCATTCTGATGTCTCGTGTTAATTTTCATGGGAATCATAGGAGTTAGAGGTGGAAGTGTTTAGAGATTATCTGGCTCAACAAAACAGGGTTTCTTTTAGCTTTAATGAGTGTCTTTTGTTGTACTAGTCTGCACATTCTGCAGATAGGCAGTAATAAATAAAGCATTTTATTTCACATATTTACCTTAAACTCATTTCATCTTTACCAATCGATAGCGATCGGCCACTTACTAAGATGTTATTCAATAATTTTGTCTATTTTCCTGCTGCTATTTTACACAAAACCACATCATCTCTGAGCTAGAAAGGGCCTCAGTAACCAATGAGTCCAACCCAAACCTGAACCAGAACTCCTATGACACATTTGGCAAGAGATCATCTGGCCTTTGTTCGAAGTACTCCAATGGGGGAGGAGCCTCTGTCTCACTAGGAAGTTCAGTTTGGAGGACTCTAATTATTAGCATGACTAAATCTACCTCTCTCAAACTTGTCTGCATTGCTTCTATTCCGCCTTTCAAATCTGCATAAGAAAAAACCTAACCACTGTTCCATGTGAAAACCTCTAACATGCTTATATAATTCTATATCAATAGCAGAGGCTGCTGGAAAATAAACTTTTCCCAGGTGGAAGGACAGATTAAGAATTATGAAAGGCACATTCCAGTTGTTTTTAAGCAGTCCTCACATGGTGTGGACTCAAGGCCCTTCAATATCCTGGCTGCCCTTCTTTTGCTGCCCTCCAATTTATCAATGAGGTGGCTAGGTGGCCCTGGGCCTGGAGTCAGAAGACCTGTGTTCAAGTCTGGCTTCAAATACTTACTAGCTATGTGAACCTGGGCAAGTCACTTAACTCTGCCTCGTTTCCTCATCTGTAAAATGAGCTGGAGAAGGAAATGGCAAACCACTCTAGTATCCTTCACGGAGAGTCAAACATGACTGAAACGACTGAATGACAATTTATTAACATCCTTCCTA